GGTTGCACTTCGTCATAGTCGCTTCACGGTTAGGTACTTATTTTCTTTAATTATGCTGAAGGTTAGTTCACTAGTTTGTTTTATGGTTTGTATGTATTTGCTTACATTATAATAGTGTAGACAATAGGGGTTGGGTTATATTAGTTATAGGGTGCCCCCTGAGTGACTTTATCAAGTGCTAGGCACCCCAAATTCGGCTTTGGGGCACCCCAGCACGTTTCCCATCCTTGGGGACGCGGCTCCAGCCTGGACCCACGAATTTCAACATTGGAAACGCGGCTCCAGCTTGGAATTCGCGTTTCCAATTCGTCAAATCGCGGTTCCAGTAGAGGGGGCGCTTCCAGGCCCACTTTGAGGGTCCCTCACGTCCCCATCTTGACTGTGGGCGACTTGAGCACCCATTTGGCCACCCCAAGTCCCTTGGGTACCAAATTCCTCACCTGGACAAGCCCAAGTCGCCACCAAGCTAGCTCTCTTCACTTTCTGCCTATTTTAGCTTTTGTTTTGCTTGTATTCATCACTTCAGTTAACTTTCTGTTTGTAGACCTTTTTCAACATCTCAGAACCAGCTTCTCCTTGTGCACATTGTGCACATAGGTCTAATTTTCTACATGATATCAGAGCTATAGCTGAGCCTCCGTTGGTCAGCCTCTACTGCACTACAATAGACCTTTTAGAAACATTGCTGGTTTTCCTCTATATTTATGGACCATTGGCTATACTTCGTTTCCAACGCTTAGCCATCAAATAGTCGTTTTTTTTTGTTCATCTTAACTATGGCTACAGTGGACAGTCATTTGGGGAGGCTCACTTTGCCCTCCCTCCTCCCCGATGGCTCCAACTTCAATCATTGGAAGCGGATGGTGGTCCTCACCTTCCAAATTGTGGGCATCGTCGACGCTCTTGGTGATTCCGCGCTCACATCCTCATCCGCCTCTTCCTCTACCAATGCTCCGGCCTCCACGGCAGATGCTGCGCCGGCAGCTCCATCCAACCCGGCTCGCCCGGCTGCTACTACCCCTGCCCTTGCAGCAGCAGAACAAGAACAGCGAGCCTTGCTGTACCTTCTCTCCACGCTTCCCACGCAGCTCTCGATGTCTATTTCTCCAACCGAGACCGCTGCCGGGTTGTGGGCTCTTCTCAACAAGAAATTTGCCAAAACCGGCAATCAAGCTCAATTCGGCTTGCTGCGTCAGCTCTTCTCTGTCTGCATGGACCCTGGCCAGCCTGTCCGTGCCTACTTTGACCACGTTCGCGGTCTTGACCTGCAACTCTAGACCAGCGGCTACAGTCTACCCTCTTGGGTGACCATCACGTCTATCCTTTTGGGTCTTCCTCGGTCTTACAACACGCTTACTGAAACGCTTTGCTCGGTCAAAGAAATAAAGGATATGACCCTTGAGTGGCTCGAGGGACGTCTCGTGGATGCTGAGTGGGACCGTGCAACAAAGAATTCGTCGCTCCCTGCTGATGGTGCTTATGTCGTTCAACCTGGACCCTCCAAGCCTCATTCCAGCACCTCTACCACTTCCTGCCGCTATTGCAAGGCTGCTGGTCACGCCATCACCACTTGCCCTCAACTCGAAAAGAAGAAGCGCAGGCAGCAACTACAGCAACAACACCAATCGCCATACCTGCCGCAGTCTGCATACCAGCCACAGTCGCAACCGTACCAGCCCCAACAGCCACAGCAGATGCCGTTCCGTTCCTTCTCTCAAAACTCGCCCAACAAGGCAGCTGCACACACCGCCCTCCCACCTCTGGCATATCCTGCCCACCTGGCCCAACCTCTCCTTCCCTCTCCTACCTCTGACGCTACCTCACCAGCACTCGCGGCTTCTCATTTGTCATCCACGCCACTGTCATCTTCGATTGATTCTCGCTATGCCGATGTCGCCGCCGCGCACTTACTCCCTACCTCTTGGCTGCCGTCCCTCCCATCGCTACTACTCCTCATCTCCTTTCTCCTCTGCCTTTTCTCCATCCTGCTCCAGCGGCCTCTCGCCTCCGTCCTCACCAGCTCTCCTTCTTCCTCCTCCTGGCTCCTTGACTCCGGCGCATCCTCGCATCTATGCAATGATCCTCATCTATTTTCCTCCCTCCGTCAACCATTTCCTGGTAGTGGCGTCCGGTTTGGTGGTGGGGAGCAGTACCCTGCCCACGGCATTGGGGACATTCTTGTCTACGCCCGTCACAACAACCATACCCATCCTATCACCCTGAAGGATGTCCTATACGTTCCCTAGACTGTTCATAATATCATCTCTGTTCGTAAGCTGAAAGACGAAGGACTCACTACCCACTTCCCTCTTCATGCTCGTGCCCAAATGTTCCGAGGCTACACGGTTCTTGCTGTCGCCCATGAGCACATGAAGTTGTTCTTCGTTTCTCTCAGCCCTGCCTCATCTTCGCAGCCGGCCACGGTCTCAACTGCATCAGCACCTCCTCCTCTTGTTCCCGCATCCTGCTCTGTAGCTTCATCTCTTCTTTGGCATCGGCGATTCGGACATCTCAACGGACACAGCTTGCAGCAGCTTCATTCCAAACAGATGGTCAGCGGCATCAGCCTCAACGGTTCCCTACCTTCCACCTGCATTTCGTGCCTTCGTGGGAAGCAAACCCGCCAGCCATTTCCAGACTCTACCTCGTCCAGCTCAGCCCCACTTGACCTGGTTCACACTGATGTCGCTGGACCATTTCCCATCGGCACCACGTTTGGCGGCGCCACCTATCTCCTCACATTCATTGACGATTACAGCCGCTATACCACTGTCTACCTTCTCAAATCCCTCTCTGAAGTCTTTAGCACATTTCAGCGCTATCTCGCCCAAGCCGAAAGCCACTGCAAGACACTTCTCAAGGTCTTGCACTCCGATGGCGCCCCGGAATATCTTTCCGACGCTTTTCAAGCTTTCCTCGCTTCGCGTGGCATCACCCGACAGGTCTCTACACCATACACCCCGCAACAAAATGGTGTCGCTGAGCGGATGAATCGCACCATGCTTGACATGGTGCGGTGCATGTTACATGACAGCGGTCTTCCTCGTGGGTGGTGGGGAGAAGCAGCCCTTACTGCTGCATATATTCGCAATCACTCTCCTCGCTCACTCCCTCGCGATGTCACGCCTATGGAATTATAGACAGGTCAGCGGCCGGACGTCACCCATTTTCGCGTGTTTGGATGCCCTGTCTCCGTGCTTCTACCTACTCTTTATCGAGAATCCAAGTTACATGACCGCAGTGCTCCCGGCATCTTCCTCGGCTATGGTCTCCTTGATGGTTACAAAGCATATCGCGCTTATATCCCCTCCATCCGCCGGGTTGTCTACTCTCGGGATGTCACATTCCTTGAAACCTCCCCCTCAACTCCCCCTCACCCGCCACCACCTCTACCATCACCCCCTACTCCCGCACCTGTCACTTTGTCACTTCACCCGCCTTCCCAACCTACCTCCTCACCAGACCCTATCAATCCTCCTCCGCTGCCTGCTACACACGCAGAAACCTCTCCCTCTGCTACTCTGTCTGCACCTCTCTTTCCCACACTCCCCACCCCTCCCTTCCAGCCTTTCACCCTTCCCACTTCCCTTCAGAAGCCAGCCTCCACACCCACTTCCTCACCTCTTCTATTTCCTCCTCTTCCAACCCCGACTGCCCAAGACTTTCAGCTCAACTTCTCTGACCCCTCTGTTAACACCATCCTTGACGAAGATCGCGAGTCAGCCCATTTTTTTCACGACTTTGCCTTCATTGCTCTTCATTCCCACTACGAGCCACCTACAATTACTGCTGCCCGCTCTTGCCCCGCTGCTCCCCAATGGCTTGCTGCTGCTGACGCTGAAATTACTGCACTCCTAGCCAACCGCACTTACAGCGTTGTGCCCAAACCGCCCGGCTGCACTCCTATCCCTTGCAAATGGGTTTTCAAGGTCAAAGAGAACCCGGATGGGTCCATCGAGCGCTATAAAGCCCGTTTGGTCATTAAAGGCGTCAAGCAACGTAAGGGCATTGACTACACTGAGACATTTGCACCCACCATTCGTTTTGCTACGCTTCGCTTGCTCCTCACCCTTGCTGCTGCCCTTGATCTTGAGATGCATCAACTCGACATCTCCAATGCCTTTCTCAATGGCGACCTTGACGAGATTATTTACATGATCCAACCACCCGGTTTTGAACTCCCTACTGCCAACGACTCTCCTCAGGTTTGCCTCCTGCACAAGCCCTTGTACGGCCTCAAGCAGGCTCCTCGGTGTTGGTACAAAAAACTGAAATCGGAGCTTCTCACATTTGGCCTTCACACCTCCGCTGCCGACCCCGGACTTTTCATTGCTGCACCTTCCTCACCTCTTCTTCCACATCCTTCCCACTTCTTCCTTGTCCTAGTCTATGTCGACGATCTCATCATCCTTTCCACCACCATCACTCCCCTTACCACCTTCAAGACTTCTCTGTCCACTCGCTTCAAACTTCGTGACTTTGGCCCATTAACTTATTTCCTCGGCCTCCACTTAGACCGCGACCGCTCTTCTCGGACCCTCCTCATCCACCAATCCAAATTTATTACTGCACTCCTCTCTACCTTCAATCTCAGCCACGCCAACCCCAGCCACACCCCCATGGACTCTAAGCTCCTCCTTCCGACACGCTCTTTATTGCCACCCTCTGAACCCTTCCCATATCCCTCTTTGGTCGGCTCTCTCATGTACGCAATGGTTGCAACTCGCCCTGACATAGCCCATTCTACTGGACTCTTTTCACGTCACCTCCATTCTTGGTCGGATCCTCATTGGCTGGCTGCTAGACGTGTTCTCCGTTACCTCAACGGGACTTCTTCCCATGGGCTGCTTCTTGGTGGCAATCCCGTCTTCCTCCAGCTGGTCGGGTATTGTGATGCCTCATGGGCTTCCGAAAGTGAGGATCGTCGTTCCCTCACTGCATACCTGTTTTTTCTGGGACCTTCTCTGATTTCTTGGCAATCCAAGCGGCAATGTGTGGTTGCGACATCCTCTTGTGAAGCTGAATACTGTTGTGCAGCAAATATGTCCCGGAGGGTAGATTCTCACCTGTGGTCTTAGAGGTTGTGGGTTCAATTCTCAGTAGCTGCAGGTTCCCTTCTCATTATGCTCCACATTACATGTCCACACTCTACCACACTCCACCACAGTGAAGTGTGGTCACAGCTGGCATTGCCACCTGTCCACTCATCCCACACTCACCTTGCTGGCCTCTATGGTGTGCCATATGCTGTCATGTGGGCTGTTGTTCCAGCCTGGCCCACATGTGCAACATGTGGCCTCACTTGCTAGCTTGGCAAGGTTGGCTAGCCTAGCCCTCAGCATTGAGGTGCTGCAGCTAGCCTCAAGAGTTCAGCCGCATATATGTGGCTTCCCACTTCACTAGGGATTATCCTTGACAAGGACCTTGCTCTAGTCTTTAAGACTTGTACCATTTTCTTGCTAAGGAGATTTCTTCTTCCTATCGTGCCCTAAGTTCACCGATCCACTTTCTTCAAATACTACGCGCTCGGTGCGGCAACCCACGAAGCCCTTTGGCTCCTTACTCTCCTCTGCTCTCTCGGCCTTCCCCCCACTGGTCCCACCCCGCTGCTCTGTGACAACACTAGCGCCATTGTCTTGGCAAAGGACGCTGGTGTTTTCCATGCCCGTGCCAAACACATCGACATCCGCCACCATTTCCTCCGTGATCATGTTGACAAAGGGCATATCTCGCTGCACTACATCCCTAGCCGTGATAACCTTGCTGATTTGGGGACCAAGCCTCTCCCTCGTGACACACTTCAGCGTCTACAGTCCTGCATCGGCCTTCGCCCTGCTACTACTTCTTTGATCTCTCCCTCGGTGTCACCCTAAAGGGGGGAGTTGTTAGGTACTTATTTTCCTTTAATTATGCTGAAGGTTAGTTCACTAGTTTGTTTTATGGTTTGTATGTATTTGCTTACATTATAATAGTGTAGACAATAGGGGTTGGGTTATATTAGTTATAGGGTGCCCCCTGAGTGACTTTATCAAGTGCTAGGCACCCCAAATTCGGCTTTGGGGCACCCCAGCACGTTTCCCATCCTTGGGGACGCGGCTCCAGCCTGGACCCACGAATTTCAACATTGGAAACGCGGCTCCAGCTTGGAATTCGCGTTTCCAATTCGTGGAATCGCGGTTCCACTAAAGGGGGCGCTTCCAGGCCCACTTTGAGGGTCCCTCACGTCCCCATCTTGACTGTGGGCGACTTGAGCACCCATTTGGCCACCCCAAGTCCCTTGGGTACCAAATTCCTCACCTGGACAAGCCCAAGTCGCCTCCAAGCTAGCTCTCTTCACTTTCTGCCTATTTTAGCTTTCGTTTTGCTTGTATTCATCACTTCAGTTAACTTTCTGTTTGTAGACCTTTTTCAACATCTCAGAACCAGCTTCTCCTTGTGCACATTGTGCACATAGGTCTGATTTTCTACACAGTCGCTTCACGGTTGCACTTCGTCACAGTCGCTTCAAGGTTGCACTTCGTCACAGTCGCTTCACGGTTGCACTTCGTCACAGTCGCTTCACGGTTGCACTTCGTCACAGTCGCTTCACAGTTGCACTTCGTCACAGTCGCTTCACGGTTGCACTTCGTCACAGTCGCATCACGGTCGCACTTCGTCACAGTCGCTTCACGGTTGCACTTCGTCACAGTCGCTTCACGGTTGCACTTCGTCACAGTCGCTTCACGGTTGCACTTCGTCACAGTCGCTTCACGGTTGCACTTCGTCACAGTTTCTTCATGGTTGCACTTTGTCACAGTCTCTTCATGGTTGCACTTCGTCACAGTCTCTTCACGGTTGCACTTCGTCACAGTCTCTTCACGGTTGCACTTCGTCACAGTCGCTTCACGGTTGCACTTCGTCACAGTCGCTTCACGGTTGCACTTCGTCACAATCGCTTCACGGTTGCACTTCGTCACAGTCTCTTCACGGTTGCACTTCGTCACAGTCTCTTCACGGTTGCACTTCGTCACAGTCTCTTCACGGTTGCACTTCGTCACAGTCTCTTCACAGTTGCACTTCGTCACAGTCTCTTCATGGTTGCACTTCGTCACAGTCTCTTCACGGTTGCACTTCGTCACAGTCTCTTCATGGTTGCACTTCGTCACAGTCTCTTCACAGTTGCACTTCGTCACAGTCTCTTCACGGTTGCACTTCGTCACAGTCTCTTCATGGTTGCACTTCGTCACAGTCTCTTCACAGTTGCACTTCGTCACAGTCTCTTCACGGTTGCACTTCGTCACAGTCTCTTCACGGTTGCACTTCGTCACAGTCTCTTCACGGTTGCACTTCGTCACAGTCTCTTCACGGTTGCACTTCGTCACAGTCTCTTCACGGTTGCACTTCGTCACAGTCTCTTCACGGTTGCACTTCGTCACAGTCTCTTCACGGTTGCACTTCGTCACAGTCTCTTCACGGTTGCACTTCGTCACAGTCTCTTCACGTTTGCACTTCGTCACAGTCTCTTCACGGTTGCACTTCGTCACAGTCTCTTCACGGTTGCACTTCGTCACAGTCTCTTCACGGTTGCACTTCGTCACAGTCTCTTCACGGTTGCACTTCGTCACAGTCTCTTCACGGTTGCACTTCGTCACAGTCTCTTCACGGTTGCACTTCGTCACAGTCTCTTCACGATTGCACTTCGTCACAGTCTCTTCACGGTTGCACTTCGTCACAGTCTCTTCACGGTTGCACTTCGTCACAGTCTCTTCACGGTTGCACTTCGTCACAGTCTCTTCACGGTTGCACTTCGTCACAGCCTCTTCACGGTTGCACTTCGTCACAGTCTCTTCACGGTTGCACTTCGTCACAGTCTCTTCATGGTTGCACTTCGTCACAGTCTCTTCATGGTTGCACTTCGTCACAGTCTCTTCACGGTTGCACTTCGTCACAGTCTCTTCACGGTTGCACTTCGTCACAGTCTCTCTCCCCCCTACTCCCTACTCCCTCGCCCTCGTCACCCCCATTCCTCCCCGTCCCCTTCCACGCAGCTGCACAAGTGGTCGTTGGTGGCAGCGCTGGTGACAGATGAGGTCATAACAGCGCTTTTTTGCTACCCCCTCGTAACCCCTCTTAACCCCTCTTAACCCCCTGTCCCATCCCCTACAGCTGCACAAGCGGTCGTTGGTGGCAGCGCTGGTGACAGATGAGGTCCTCACAGCGCTTTGTTGCTACCCCCTCTTAACCCCTTTAGCCGCTCGTACCCCCTCTTAACCCCTCTTAACCCCTCTTACCCCCCCGTCCCATCCCCTACAGCTGCACAAGCGGTCACTAGTGGCAGCGCTGGTGACGGACGAGGTTGTAACGGCGTGTACCAACGCACCACGGGGCAATGAGCAGTTACGTGTGTCCTCTTGCTTCATGCTTGCATTGCGCTCACCTCACCCTCACTTTCTCTTCCCGAGCTATTGCGTTGCGTTCACTCAAATTCGCACACCACATGCGCGGGGCATTGCAGCTACTATTTCTGTTGCCCCATGCTTCACTCAAAACCAGTGCTCACGGTTGCGATCCCTTCCGCGCCTGCTCTTCCCCCTCTTGACTGTATGTCATCCTTCTTTCCTCATTCTCGACCCCTGCCCTTTCTCATTCATTTTCTCAAACCTTGTCATTTATGATGCTAAACATGTTCCTTACTATTTTTCCTTCCTCTATTCTCCCACCCATCACATGCATCTCCTGCAGGTATGCGGCCGTGTTTGCTGCGTTCATCGCAGCAACGGCATCAACGGTTGGGATCGACTTCGCTGCCAACTTTGCCGCCACCCTTGCCATTCGTTTTGAGGTCAGCCAGCCTTTCAGGTTCAGCCAGGTCGGGGTAAGTAAGTCAGTCAGTCAGGATTGGAAATAAGTACATAACTGATTGTTGGGTAACGGCGTCCTGTTGGGTTTCAGGTGGGCTGTTGCTGGCTGGTTGTGCTGGATTGTTTCAAGGTCAAGGTCTAACTTCTAACCTCTTAGTCGACTCAAAAGTCACGTCGACTCATAAGTCACGTCGACTCAAAAGTCACGTCGACTCATAAGTCACGTCGACTCAAAAGTCATGTCGACTCATAAGTCTGGTTGTGCTGGATTGTTGCAAGGTCAAGGCCTAACTTCTATCCTGTGCCACTTTTGGGACTACACAAGATTGAAGCAAGAATATCTCAAGAACATGCGAGCAGCAGTATATATAAACCACCTAGTTTCGAAAGCTGGCCACAAGCATGATCCTTTTGCCAGGGCAGTCCTTACCGCCTTTTCGAAAGTTTGCAACTGCTGATTTCTGCTGGGAGTTTCTCATTTCGGAATACATACATTCATCATTAGGCGCATATCGCAGCACCTTTTGAGACGTCTCAGAAAAAGGTTTGCCCTGCTGACATGCAACAGATGAAGACATGCAACAGATGAAGACATGCAACAGATGAAGACATGCAACAGATGAAGCCATGCAACAGATGAAGACATGCAACAGATGAAGACATGCAACAGATGAAGACGTGCAACAGATGAAGAGCGCAAAGCAAAGCAAAGCAAACTCACCATGCTCGCTCGCTCAGTGAGTGCCATGTTGCGTGCCATGTTGAGTGCCATGTTGCGTGCCATGGTTTGCTTTGCAAGTGGTGTGGTGTGAGTGCCATGTTGCTTGCACTTGCACACCACACCACACCGTCGCCCATCCCCATCCCCATCCCCATCCCCTCCGCCTATCAACCCCATCAGGCTGTGTACGAGGCAGATGAAGAACTGGGCCTGCAGCACAGCCTCAGCATGCTGCTCACCTTCCTCACTCGCCCACAATCTCCCTGCCACTCTTGCTCCCATCGATCACCCACCCATCACGCTGTGGGGTGTTTTTGAGAATTCTCAAAGACACCCTGCTCCCACTGCCCATCAGGCTGCGTACGAAGCAGATGAGGCACTGGGGTTGCGTAACCTCACCATGCTGTTCAATCGCCCACCAACCCAACTCATTCTCCCCCTTCCCATCACCCCCCATCAGGCGCTGTACGAAGCAGATGAAGCACTGGGTCTGCGAAATCTCACCATGCTGCTCGCCTACCTATATGTCTTCAAGCTGCTTGCTCCGTGAGTCATTCTGACCTTCCAAGCTACTTTTTTTTTTTAGAATGCGTATGCACTATAACAGATGCAAATACATTCACAGTCGTAACTGGACCTTCCAAGCTACTGAGACGACCTTAAAAAAACTCTCCAGTTTGAGAACCAACCTCACCATGCTGCTCGCTTTTCTATACGCGCATTCAAGCCGCTCGCACCGCGAGTTTCTCAGGTCATTATGAGAGCCAAACTATCGAGATGGCCTTTCGAAAGTCAACCATTTTGGGAACCAACCTCTCCATGCTGCTTGCTCGCCTTTTTCTGCGTCATCAAGCTCCTTGCTTGCGCCGTCCGTGTGACTTATGAGGCGCACCTCAATAGGCATCTGTGAGCACCTCAATAGGCATCTGTGAGGACCTCAATAGGCATCTGTGAGCACCTCAATAGGCATCTGTGAGCACCTCAATAGGCATCTGTGAGCGACCCCAAGGCACCAAGGAACTTCAGATCTGAGAGTCAGCTCTGTTGGTGTTACTTTTGAGCATGCTCTGTCTGGATCTTCTTCTGTCCCTCCCAGGGCCTCCTCTACTCTTTGTGCCCGCTTTCTTCCCGTTTCCAGCCAACGCTTCCTTCTTTTTAGAACTCTTTGTCGTCCGTTTCTCCCTTCGCTCTTCTCGTCTTTACCGCTCTGTGTTGCCGTGCTCATCTTTGCAGGGAGGTTGCATACTCGTTTTTGGGTCGCCTCACAGATGGATTTAAGGAGCTCGACGTTGCTGCCATGATCCACTTGCTACAGTGTGAGTTCTTTGGGTTCACTAACAGAAAAAAATAGATGGTTTCTCATGTGTCAACTGATTGCGATTTTTCCCCCGGGCAAAAGCAGCTTGCACAAAGGAAAGGCAAACGTGACCACTTTAGACCAGAGAGCCGCTTTTGAGATTTCTCAGACATCCAGCTGGTGATGCAACGAAACCAGGTGACTTTTGAGTCGACTCAAGAGCCGCTTTTGAGATTTCTCAGACATCCAGCTGGTGATGCAACGAAACCAGGTGACTTTTGAGTCGACTCAAGAGCCACTTTTGAGATTTCTCAGACATCCAGCTGGTGATGCAACGAAACCAAGATCTTTCCACCTTCCTCTTCCCCCCATTATTCCCTCTTCGTTCTCGTTCCATGAAGAGCAGGCAGGCACCCTGGTTTCACCTTCCTCTCGGTTCAGGATCAGGCCTGCCTGCCTGGCTGGCTGGCTGGCTGGCTGCCTGGCTGGCTGCCTGGCTGCCTGGCTGGCTGCCTGGCTGCCTGGCTGGCTGCCTGGCTGGCTGGCTGGCTGGCTGGCTGGCTGGCTGCCTGGCTGGCTGCCTGGCTGGCTGCCTGGCTGGCTGGCTGGCTGGCGCCTCTTGAGTCGACTGTCGACTCATCAAGCGCCATGCCACTCACAACACGAAATGAGTCAACATGATGGAGAAACCCCTAATGATGATTTCATTGCCCCATCCTATCCTATCCCATGGCAGCAGCATGTGGGCTGGCCTGAGATCGGATGACCCTGTGCTGCAAAGATGCGTGCATGGCATGGCATGGCATGGCATGGCATGGCATGGCAGCATGTGGCTTGCAGGTGGCATACCCTCCCACAACTCCTCAGGCTCCACCGGGTGGAGAAATGGGGTGGAGTCCACCCCATTTCTCCACCCAACTCCCCCCTCCTCACTGCAGCGTGCGGCCTTGCTATGTGAGCCGATGACCCTGTAGCAATGAAGGAGTTCATCCTGACCGTGCAGAGCAGAGCAAAGCAATGAAGCAGACATAACCCCACTTCCGTCTGCTCCCCGCACTGCCATCCACTGCCCTCCACCCCTCCCCACTCCTCCCCACTTCCCTCCCCTCTCCCTCCCAACCAGCATGCGGCCTTGCTATGAGAGCCGATGACCCTATAGCAATGAAGGAGTTCATCCTGGCCGGGCCGGGCAGAGCAGAGCAAAGCAATGAAGCAGACATAACCCCACTTCCGTCTGCTCCCCACACTGCCATCCACTGCCCTCCACCCCTCCCCACTCCTCCCCACTCCCCTCCCCTCTCCCTCCCAACCAGCGTGCGGCCTTGCTCTGAGAGCCGATGACCCTGTAGCAATGAAGGAGTTCATCCTTGCCGTGCAGAGCAAGGCAGCTGACATACGGAGGCAGGCGCAGGAGGCACAGAGTGAGGGTGCTGCTGGTGCAAAGGCAGCGCCAGTGCTGAGCAAGCGGGTGAGTGCATGGATGGATGGAGGTGAGAGGTATGGCTGGGTGTGAGATGAAGGAGTTCATTCTATCTGTGCAGAGCAAGGCAGCTGACATACGGAGGCAGGCGCAGGAGGCACAGAGTGAGGGTGCTGCTGGTGCAAAGGCAGCGCCAGTGCTGAGCAAGCGGGTGAGTGCATGGATGGATGGAGGTGAGAGGTATGGCTGGGTGTGAGATGAAGGAGTTCATTCTATCTGTGCAGAGCAAGGCAGCTGACATACGGAGGCAGGCGCAGGAGGCACAGAGTGAGGGTGCTGCTGGTGCAAAGGCAGCGCCAGTGCTGAGCAAGCGGGTGAGTGCAGTGCAGTGCAGTGCAGTGCAGTGCAGTGCAGTGCAGTGCAGTGCAGTGCAGTGCAGCGCTAGTAGCAGGGGCTTTCGGTTCATCCGCTTGTGCCAATCATCCGCCATGCCATCCCTTGCCCTGCCCCATCCCCTGCACTGCACTGCTTACCGTTATCGCCCCAACTCACCCCTCACCCGTAACACCCCTTGATCACCTTCCCACCCCCCACCCCAGGTGGAGTTCGTGCTCGAGACCATCACAGACATCAAGAACAACCTAGCGCCCCATGCCGTTGGTTGTGCTGCCCCTATTTGTCAACCCTTACATGTCCGCGCCATCCCACCCCTCACAACCACTACCTCCCACCTCCCATCACAGGTAGAGTTCATGCGCGAAACAATCACAGACATCAAGAACAACCGAGCGCCTCGTGTCTCTCCCATTGCATTCCCCACCCCGCGCCCTCCCTCCACCCCTCGTGCCATGGCACCCCTTTGTACTCCTCACAACCAACCCCCCCATCCCAGGTGGAGTTCATGCTCGAGACCATCACGGACATCAAGAACAACCGAGCGCTGCGCAACGCCGGTCGCAGGGGAGGAGGGGGAGGAGGGGAGACCATGCCTGTAGCAGAGGGGGCAAGTGGGGGAGGCAACCTCTCATGCCAACCCTTTCTTCTCCTCACAGCCCCCAACATCACAGGTGGAGTTCATGCTCGAAACAATCACGGACATCAAGAACAACCGGGCGCCCCGTGCCACCCCTTGCACTGCCTGTTGCTGTCACTTCAACTCACCCCCTCTCTCCCCTCACCCCTCATCCATCCCCCATCGCAGGTGGAGTTCATGCTCAGGACCATCACGGACATCAAGAACAACCGAGCGCCGCGCAACTCTCTTCCACTGTATATTATTGTCACCCTGAGTCATCCTTCACCATCCCCCTCTCACCCCTCACCCCTCACCCTTCCCACCCACCTCCCATCCCAGGTGGAGTTCATGCTCGAGACAATCACGGACATTAAGAACAACCGAGCGCCTCGCAACGCCGGCCGCAGGGGGGGCAGTGGGACCATGGGAGGAACAGGGGGAGCAGGGGGGACAGTGATGGGGGGAGGGGGCACGGCCGTAGGGGGAGGGGGAGGGGCTGCGGGGAAGGGGAAGGGGAAGGGGGCGGTGAGCGTGTTTACAAAGGGAGGGGGAGGAGCAGAGGCGAGTGACGGCAGCACTGCCGTTTCTCGTTTGCAAAAGTGGCTGCTCAAGGTGAGTGCAGTGCAGAGTGGTGCAGTGCAGTGTGGTGTGGTGTGGTGTGGAGCGGTGTGGTTTTGTGCAGTTTGATATGGGTGGTGAGCGTGTTTCAAAAGAGAGGTGGGGGAGCATAGGCGAGTGTGGGCAGCACGGCTGTTTCCCGCTTGCAGAAATGGCTGCTCGAGGTGAGTGCGGTGTGGTTGGGTGCGGTGAATTAAGGTGCGGTGTAGTGTGGTGTGGTGCGGTGAAGTGTGGTGTTGTGTGTAGCGCGGAGGGAAAGTAGGGGGGAAGGGAAGGCGAGTGACCGCAGCACAGCCATCTCCTGCCTGCAGAAGTGGCTGCTCAAGGTAAGTGCGGTGCAATGCGGTATCGTGCGGTTTGGTGTCGTGTGTTGTGTAACTGTACCACAATTAGACGCAGAGGTCGCCACCTCAATTAGGTGCTGTGTTTCTCATCCTCGCCGCTCTTGTTTGTGCAGTGATCTTGTTTATGAACAGTGATCACCCCAATCATATATCCTCCCCCTTCTCCTCCCCTTTCCCCCCCCCAGCGTCCAGTCGAAACTGTTCAGCTACGATCGCTGACGTGGCAGCGCCTGATTGACCCGCACAAGCACGGCCAATGGTGGCACACCTCCTCCTCCTCCCAACCCCTCGGCTCCCTACCTGCCACGTCAGCAGCACTGGGGGGCAGCAGCGTCAGCGCCAGCCTGGCGGTCCAGCTGGCGGGGAACGCGCTGCTGGACGCTGCTGACGTGGCGGAAGCTGAGAGGCTGATGCAGCTGGCGGCGGCGCAGAGGATGAACACGGACGCCAGGCGGGCGGTGTTCTGTGTGATTATGAGCGCAGAGGACTATATTGATGCCTTTGAGAAACTGCTGAGGTTGGGTCTACCTGGCAAGCAGGTGTGTTCTCTTGCTTGTGATGCTCCTCCTGTGATAAGTCGATCTTTGACTCAGAGAGGCCACGCTGTGCACGTCTCACATACACTCTTTGACTCAGAGAGGCCACGCCGTGCACGTCTCACAAACACTCTTTGGGTTTGGGTCTCTGTTCTCCCCCTTTTCGAGGCGCCTCAAAAGTCGTCTTGGGCTCTCTGCTCTCCCCTTTGTTCCCTTCCCTTTTCACACCACAGGACCGGGAGATTCTGAGGGTTCTCGTGGAGCGTTGCCTACAAGAGCGTCCTTTCAACTAGTACTCTGTTTCCAAGCGTGCCCATACGGGGCTTCATTTCAACAAGTACTATTCCCTTCTAGCTATGTGGGCACGCTTGGAGTCACAAGTTCAGTCTGCAGTACTGCCTGTGGCACCACCACCACCAGCAGCAGCTCAAGCCTTTACCCCTCCTCCCTCCCTCCCTCTGCCTTTCTGCCTGCCTGCAGGACCGGGAAATCTTGCGAGTACTGGTGGAGTGCTGTATGCAGGAGCGCCATTTCAACAAGTATTATTCCCTTCTAGCGGGGCGGCTGTGTGGGCACGCTCGGAGTCACAAGTTCAGTCTGCAGTACTGCCTGTGGGACCACTACCAACAGCTCCCTGACATGGACCCCCGCCGCTCCCTCCACCTCGCTCAGTTCGCCGCCCAGATCGTGGGCAACCACGCGCTGTCCCTCGCGCTGCTCAAGGTACCGTGTTTATCCCACTCAAGCTAACCCACCACTCGCTGCCAGGCTCGCTACCATTCAAGGTACCCTCGGCTCAGTACGCGCCCAGATTGTTGGCACCCATGCGCTGGCTCTGGCGCTGCTCAAGGTACCGTGTGTTTCCCCTTTGCAGCAGCTGTGATGCACCTCAAACCACTCACCAGGTGCATCCTCTAGGCGACCTAACCCAACCCACCACTCTCTGCCGCTCTCTCCACCTCACTTAGCTCGCCGCCCAGATTGTGCCCCACCCTCTTCCTCCTTCCCTTCCTCTCCCCCACGTGCTCCCGTGCATAGCCTTGCACTTCCGCCTCTTCTTCCCTCTTCTTTCATACCCTTTCCTCCATTTCCCCCTCCTTCCTCCTTTCCTCCCTCTTCCTCTCCCACCGTTTCCTCCCTTTCTGTCCCCATTCCTCCCCCCTTCGCCCGCTTCTTTCTTACCCTTTCCTCCCATTCCGCCCACGCCACCCTCCCACCCCACTCCTCCCCTCAGCCGGTGGATTTCGCGGACCCAGCAGCAATGCACGCGCGCATAGCAACCCACTTCCGCCTCTTCTTCCTCTTCCTCCTCTCCTCCTTCCCCCCCGCCACCCTCTGGTCCCTCTTCTCCCGCATCGCCGCCCCAACCACCCTCGGCCCGCTACGAGACGGAATCCTCCTCTTCTTCGCCGCCCATCTCTCGCCACACGCGCCGTCCACGCGCCAATTGCTACAGTACATCAGGAGCGGGGGGGGGAGTGAGGGTGGGGGGTCAGCTGCTGGTGTGGGGAAGGGAGGGAAGGAGGAGGAGGTTCTAGAAGAGAGGTTGAGATTGGCCAAGAAAGCGATTGCCAACATTGCTGGGACGCCTTACAAGTAGATATTAGGAAGAGCTTTAGTTGGTGAAGCCCTTTCTGCTACTGAGACTGGTGGCTTTCTGTAGAGTGCCAGCTTGGGCTGCTGCTGCTGCTGACTGTCTGTCATCTCCTGCGAGCAGCAGATCGGGAGGAGGCTTAGCAACCAGGAAAAACAGTTGTGGTACCAAAAGCTAGCTGAAAACAGTAGAAAGCCCTTTGGGCCAGTGAGGCCGGTGGCTTGCTGTACAGTTCCAGCATGGACTACTTTTGAGGCGCCTCAAAAGGCTTGCTGTACTGTGCCAGCATAGACTACTTTTGAGGCGCCTCAAAAGGCTTGCTGTACTGTGCCAGCATAGACTACTTTTGAGGCGCATCAAAAGGCTTGCTGTACTGTGCCAGCATAGACTACTTTTGAGGCGCCTCAAAAGGCTTGCTGTACTGTGCCAGCATAGACTGCTGCTTCTCAGAGGCATCTCCAGAGTTTTCTTCGCTGCATCACTATAATACCGTAGTAACGCGCTGCTCGTTTATTCTGCATGCAGAGCCTGCCTACTGTTACATTTGCGGCATTCCTACTAGCTTTTACCGATTTTTTTATTATCATCATTATTATATTTGCAACTGCTGCTGCACATGAGTTACCTGTAGGCTGTACAGTACAGGAGATTGTCGCCCATGTTTCTCCATGGGCGGAAGGAGGACAACATGTCTGGCGCTGTGCCTGCCCATGTTCTACGGCATGATACGAGCGCCGCGCCGCCGCCGTCTCAACCTTGTTGAGGCTGCATGGCAGGCCCCACGTTTTCCGAGTAAATTACTCTGTTTCTCTGAAAATCAGAGTCATTTTTGAAAGGAACTCTGTACCTGCTGGGTTTTGCTTTTAAAAGTTTAGTTTTCTCTGATTTATCAGAGTTTTCTTGTAGGCTACTCTGAGCTCTCTGGGGTTTTATTCTAAGGACCGAGTTTACTCTGTACAGAGGATACATGCCCCCTAGCCACCCCCCCCACCTCCCCCCCCTCCCTCCCCCCATCTCCCGAATATCGGGTTTTCCCCAAGTCGCCGAGAACACCATCCAGATTTAGTTCGAGTGTTGGCGCCAAGGCCTGCTAGTGCTCGGCTGGCTCACAGTTTCTCCACCCATTTCCCCGATCCATCAGGTGCCTTGCGTACCCCAACATCACAGCCACGCGTCTCCCCACTCTGTTCCGCACCCTGTTCAATGCAGACAACGCTGACGCTGCTGCGCCTGAACCTGATCCCGGCCCGTCATGCAGCTCTCGCCCTATGACGGGTCTGGAGTTTCTGAAAGGCGTAACAAATTACCCATACAGATCATACACCTTAGTAAACTAACATCAGAGTAAAGCAAAATATTACTCTGACGTGCCTGAGTTTTTTTCCCAAAACATAGGGTTACTCTGACAACTCAGAGTGAGGCGTAAGAACAACCCTAGATTTCAGAGTTGGCAAAAAAAACCACTCTGGAATTCAGAGTACCTAAAATCCAAAAGTAGGCCCTGCTGCATGGTGCCAGTAAGGGAGATTATGGTGCCACAAAATATTCCTGCCTATAGGACGAGGGCTGGGGAGGGAGCGGGGGTTGGAGGGGGGAGGAATGGGGGAGGTGGGGATGGGGGCAGGGTGGGGGACGGGGGGAAAGAGGGTAGGCCAGGGCCTCATAAGTCAGGATTTTTACCCTGGTTTTCTGATGTTTCGGATGTTTTTTTGAAGTTGTTGGGCTCAGAAAAGCCCTTAGGATCTTTTCAAGGCTAAACTCTTGAGTAGAAGTATTGTATTTGCGGAAGCGTTTTAGTACCGTAACAAGTGTTGAACTACCTTGCGATGGTATGTGAGGGCAAGATAGATTGATTATAGAAAAGTAATACAAGCTTATATAAGATTACAAGGAATATGAAAGGGTGCAACTAATACCGTCATCGCCCGGATATAAGACAGTGTTGAATAGTAGACAGGGGTTGTCTACTATACGGGTGTCTCTTATAAACAAGCTAGCCTTTTTATACGACACCTATTTGTGTGTACGAGTTAAGACATATATGTCTTATAATCAGAGCCAGGGTTTAGGGGTTTTCTTATAAACAGGGGGTGTCTTCTTAGCTAGCTTTCCTACTTTAGGGGGGTACATGCATACAGTCATGAATCTCTACTTCTACCTAACCCCCCTCAGTCACCGCCTCCTCACCTGCACTAACATCAGGCTCTACACCCAGGTCTGGCACTCGCCAGGCATGCCTAGCCGTCTCCCTAGGCTCGATCATGCGGTCAGCCTCGGCCGCCGCTCCGCGGTAGTTGGGGGTCTCCTGGTACAGCACCTCCAGGCCGGTTGCCACGGCCACCTCCCGCACGCCCTCCGCCTGCATCGCCTCCTCCTCCTCCTCTGGAGCCCGACCGAGCAGGCGCGTGTTGTCGCCTTGTCAGAACATATAGCTTTTGCATATTGTGTAGGCTATAGTGGGGTAGCCCACAAGGGGTACAACCCAATTAGGGTTAGTACTTGTATTCAGTTCATTCATAGTTCATTCATTCTCGTTCTCATTTTCTCATGGTATCGAGCAGGTTCCCCTGTGGGAACTGTGCCTAGGGCCCACCAAATTTCGAATTTTTTTCCTGCCCGAAGCGCGCCCCGCCCGAGTCGCGCTCTCACCTCGTCGAGCCGCCCTTGCGGCTCCTACGCCCTAGCGGCCCTCCCTACCTTAGTGGCCTCGTCGCCCGTTCGTGCGGCCCCGCCACCTACTAGCGTGGCCCCGCCACCCGCATTCGCGGCCCCGCCGCCCTACGTCGCGACCCCGCCGCCCTAACTGCGGCCTCGCCGCCCTACTCCTGCGGCCCCGCCACCCTACTTCGCGGCTCCGCCGCCCTACGTCGCGGCCCTGCCGCCCTACTTCACGGGCCCCGCCGCCCTGTTCAGCGGCCCCATCGCCCCACTTTGCGGCCCTGCCGCCCCACTTCGCGGCCCCGCCGCCCTGCTTCAGCGGCCCTACCGCCCGTCTGCTGCGGCCCCGCCGCCCCACTTCGCGGCCCCGCCGCCCTTCTTCAGCGGCCCCGCCGCCCGTCTGCTGCGGCCCCGCCGCCCCACTTCGCGGCCCCGCCGCCCCACTTCGGGGCCCCGCCGCCCTACTTCAGCAGCCCCGCCGTCCTACGTCTGCGGCCCCGCCGCCCGTCTGCTGCGGCCCCGCCGCCCTACACCTGCGGCCCCGCCGCCCTACTTCAAGGGCCCCGCCGCCCTACTTCAAGGGCCCCGCCGCCCTACTTCAAGGGCCCCGCCGCCCTACTTCATCGGCCCCGCCGCCCTACGTCAACGGGCCCCGCCGCCCGTCTGCTGCGGCCCCGTCCCTCTCCCCTCTTGCAGCAGCGCGCCCGAGCCGCCGACCGCCGCGCCGCCCTGTACCAGAGGAGCCGAGCCGCCCTGCCGCCGAGCCGCCCGGCCGCCCACCAGCCGAGCCGCCGTGCAGTCGAGCCGCCCAGCCGCCGAGCCGCAGAGCCGCCGAGCCGCCCAGCCGGTGAGCCGCCCACCAGCCGAGCCGCCCCGCAGCCGAGCCGCCGAGCCGCCCAGCAGCCGAGCCGCCCAGCCGCCGAGCCGCCCTACAGTTGAGCCGCCCGAGCATCCCTGTCCGGTGAGCACAGCCTCTCTGTCACTGCGTGCCCTTCCCCTACTGCTTTCACTGCTAGTCTACCGTCGTCATGGCTACCCCTAGTGTCCTCGCTTTTGACGCTGAGGGTCGAGCCACAGACTTTGAGGTCTGGGTCGACGACCTGCAGCTGTTCTTATAGTGCGATAGGGCGGACGGTCTTTCTCTCTTTGACCTCACCTCTGGCGCCTCTCCTGCCCCTGCTGCTGATGCTGACCCCACTGTTCGCTCTCACTCGGCCACCCGCGATGCTGCTGCACGTCTTGCTGTGCGTCGCCACCTGCCTACCACTGAGCGCGCGCACTTTAGTCAGTACAAGAGTGCTCAGACCTTGTACGACGCTGTAGTTGCGCGCTACTCTTCCCCTGCCACTGCTGCACTGAGCCGCCTCATGCTACCGTACCTCTTCCCTGACCTTGCTGCATTTCCCACAGTTGCTGACCTCATTACGCACCTCCGCACTAGTGACACTCGCTACCGCGCCGCGCTGCCTGCTGAGTTCTGCGCCAAGAACCCCCCCCCCCCCCATGTACATCACTCTCTATTACATAGTCACCCGCCTCCGTGACTCCCTTCGCGTAGTCAGGGACCACTTCCTCTCAGTCTGTCCCACCACTCTCACTGTTGACCTCCTAGAGAAGGCCCTCCTAGCAGCGGAGAAGGGAATAGTCACTGTAGGAGCCTCTCGTGGTGACCCTCGCACCCCCATCTTTGAGGGGTGTTCCCCTTCCCCCCTGTTGCCCTCTGTCGCCTCTGCTGCTGCGGCCGACCTACTTGGTCTTGAGTCGGTCGGTGCGGCGTCTGCCCCTAGCGGGAGACGCCGCTCTGGCAAGGGCAAGGGGGGCAAGGGCGCAGGTGGAGCTAGCGGGGGTGGTGGAGGTGGCGGTGGAGGCGGCGGAGGGAGTGGGGGTGGCGGTGGGAGTGGTGGCGGAGGTGGTGGTGGTGGTGGCGGCAGTGGAGGCGGAGGCGGAGGCGGCGGTAGCGGTGGGAGCGGAGGTGGCGGTGGTGGCGGCGGTGGAGGCGGCGGTGGAGGCGGCGGTGGCGGAGGAGGTGGAGCTGGTCGGGGTGGTGCCTCGCAGCGGAGCGGCTCTGGTGGTGGTCAGCGCCAGCAGCAGCAGCAGCAGCAGCAGCGTTCTCGGGACATCCCCCCCCCTCAGCAGCTTTGTGAGTGGTACACGCAGCGTCAGCGTGGTGGGGGTTTTGGTCCGTGCACCTACGTCCTTCGCTCCGACGACCGCGCGGGTGAGCAGTGTGGGGGTGCCCACCCCACCCAGCGCTGCTTTGGCCGCCTGACGGACGCTTGGCGTCAGCAGTTCCCCGAGGCTAGTGAGATCCCCCGCTGGGGAGAGTTGTCTAGGGCAGGCGTAGCTATCTATGATCTTGACTTTGATGCTATCCTTGCTGCCATGTATGCTGTGACTATTAGTGATGAGGGTGACTGTTACCGGTGTTTCCCGCCCGACCCGGGCATAGGTACTGCTGCGCTAGGTGCTTGTGAGGCTGCTGCTCTGGGTGCCAGCACGTCTGCGCCCTCAGGTACTGGTGAGGCTGCGTTCTCAGGTACCGCGTCGACTTCGGCCTCCCTCACCTTCACGCTTGACTCGAGGGCTTCTCGCTCCTTCTTTCGAGACCGCACCACACTCACGCCGCTTGGTCGGCCGGTTGCAGTCTCCCTGGCTGACCCCTCTGGGGGTCCTGTCCTCTCTCACTTCTCCACACTCCTCCCGTGTCCGGCTGCCCCCTCGGGCACCTTGTCTGGTCTGTACCTCCCCTCGTTCTCGACGAACTTGGTGAGTGGTGCTGACCTGCAGGATGCGGGGGTTCACCAGTTCACTCCTGCGAGTCAGCGGGTGACCCACTACTTGGATGCCAGCACAGGCCGACACCTGGCCACGTTTTCACGCAGGCCGGGGTCGAGTCTCTACACCCTGACCACTGCGTCTCCTCCTATCTCTGCGTCTGGCCAGGTAGCTGCATCGGGTCAGGTGTTTGCTGCTGCGTCCAGGTCTGGTCCTGAGTCTGCCCCCTGCTCGTGTCGCCTCCTGTCTCACGAGACTCTCCTGTGGCACCACCGTCTTGGTCACCCCTCCCTGCCTCGTCTTCGGGGCATGGCCTCCCGTGTCCTTGTCTCTGGTCTCCCCCAGTCCCTCCCTCCCCTTCCTTCGGGGCCTGGTCCTTCCTGTGTCCCCTGTGTCAAGGGGCGGCTCCGGGCTGCCCCTCACTCCTCTCAGTTTCCCCCGACAGAGGCTCCGCTACAGACGCTTCACTTGGACGTGTGGGGCCCGGCCCACGTCCGTGGACAGGGTCACGAGCTCTACTTCCTGCTGGTGGTTGACAACTACTCGCATTACACCACAGTCTTCCCCTTGCGCAGCAAGGGTGATGTCACTGCGGTGTTGATCGACTGGATCCGCGCAGCTCGTCTCCAGCTCCGGAGGAGCTTCGGCTCAGACTTTCCTGTTCTGCGTCTGCACTCTGACAGAGGCGGAGAGTTCTCCTCTAGCCTTCTGCGAGCCTTCTGTCGTGCGCGAGGCATCCGCCAGACCTTCACGCTTCCGGACTCTCCACAGCAAAATGGGATTGCTGAGCGCCGCATTGGCATGGTCATGGACGTCGCTCGTACGTCCATGATGCATGCGGCTGCCCCCCATTTTCTGTGGCCATTTGCGGTTCGGTACGCGGCGCATCAGATCAACCTTCACCCCAGGGTCTCCCGGCCGGAGACCTCCCCAGCTCTGCTGTGGACGGGGAAGGTCGGCGATGCGTCTGCGTTCCGTGTCTGGGGATCTCGGGCGTTTGTCCGCGACTTGTCTGCGGACAAGCTGTCCCCTCGTGCTGCTCCCTGTGTCGTCCTTGGCTTCCCCCCTGACGCACCAGGGTGGCAGTTCTACCACCCCTCCTCTCGTCGTGTTCTGTCCTCCCAGGACGTCACGTTCGACAAGTCAGTCCCCTTCTACCGCCTCTTCCCCTACCGCACTCCTTCCCTCCCCCTGCCACCGCACTTCCTCGTGCTAGGTCCCCCCCCGGTAGACCCCCTTCCCCATCAGGGTCCTTCCCCTTCAGGTGTGTCCCAGGTAGACGCAATCGAGCCGGTCGAGGTTGCTGGTGACTCTGGTACTGCTGCGGGTGCTGAGCCTGGGGGTGCTGACTCTGGGGGTGCTGCGCGCGTGGGTGCTGAGCCTGGGGGTGCTGAGTCTGGGGGTGCTGCAACTGGGGGTGCTGAGCCTGGGGGTACTGCGACTGGGGGTGCTGGGCCTGGGGGTGCTGAGCCTGGGGGTGCTAAGCCTAGGAGTGCTGAGCAAGGGGGTGCTGCGTCTAGAGCTGCTGCGTCTGGAGCTGCTGAGCCTGGAGGTGCGGAGCCTGCGGTCGCTAGACCTCCCCTTGTGGCGTCTGGCGGTGCTGAGTCTGGATGTTCTCCGGGTGCTTTGTCTCGGCGGGAGCCCCTCTCTCCACAGGAGCTGCGCGAGTGGTTTACTCGCCGCTGGAGCCGTAGTGCTGGAGCTGGAGCTTCTTCGGCCGCTGAGGGTGCTGGTGCCGCCAGTCCTGGAGCTGCTGAGCCTGCGGGTCCGACTGGAGCTAGAGCTGCTGAGGGTGTTGGTGCTGAGACTACTGCTGTCCGTCCTGGCGGTGTCCCTGCTGCAGGTGCTGCTGGTGCTGCTGGAGGTCCTGCAGTTGGAGGTGCTGTTGGCGCTAATGGTGCCTCTGAGGGTGCTGGTGCTGTCCCTGCTGTGTCTGGAGTTGCCGCGCGGCCTCGACCGTACTTCGTTCCGCTCCTTCAGCAGGTTCTTGGTCTTTCTGCTCGTGTAGAGTGTCCACCGCCTGTCCAGTCTCAGTCACAGTTAGAGCCCGCCTCCCCTCTGCCTGCTCCCTCTCCTTACACTGGTCCTACTGGAGGTCTTCCTGAGCGTCGTGAGCCTGCGTCTCGTCACGCGTCGCCTGTTCGTGCTTCTCGCGCTAGTGGTCGCGGTTCGCGTCAGCGTCCTCCTCCTGTCCCTGGCACGCACCGGATGTCTCTGCGTCCGTCCACTGCTCCTCTGCGTGCCCCTTTGCCTTCTCCTCCTGAGTCCTCTCTCCCTGCTCTGGCCGACCCGGAGTCGGACACTCTTCGTGCTGCCAGTCCTACTGTCACGCGTCTCCTTACTACTATCGTCACTGACCCCTCTTTTGAGTCCACTGCTGCGTCTGCTCTTGTTGCTGAGCTCGTCGACTTTGCTGCTCGCTGTCGTCTAGACTACGCTGCTAGCCTTGTTGCTGAGTCTGCGTCTGTCTGTCCTCCGTCCGTCGGGGGTGAGTGTGCTCTTGGCACGGACGTCCTTGAGGACAGGCAGGAGGAGTTCCAGTGTCTGACTACTGCTTCACCTCATCTCGCGTCCGTACTGCTTGCCCCTGAGGGAGACCCGGATGCACTAGACATCCCGACTCCGCGCTCTTACGCGGAGGCCGTAGAGGGTCCCTACTCCTCTCAGTGGCAGGCAGCTATGGATGCAGAGATGGCTTCCTGGAAGTCCACAGGCACCTACGTTGACGCGGTTCCCCCTCCTGGGGCGAACATCGTCAGTGGCATGTGGATCTTCAGGGTGAAGCGGCCGCCGGGCTCTCCACCTGTCTTCAAGGCGCGGTACGTCGCTCGTGGTTTCAGTCAGCGGCAGGGAGTTGACTACTTTCAGACCTTCTCTCCCACCCCGAAGATGACCACTCTTCGGGTGCTGCTGCACATAGCCGCTCAGCGCGACTACGAGCTTCAGTCTCTTGACTTCAGCACTGCTTTCTTGCAGGGTAGCCTGCACGAGGAGATCTGGCTGCGCCGTCCACCTGGCTTCACTGGGACTTTCCCTCCTGGCACCCAGTGGAGCCTCCGACGGCCAGTCTACGGTCTCCGCACCGACACCTCTCTGCCGCCGTTCTACATCCTCGTGTACGTCGACGACTTGGTCTTTGCCTTAGCTGATACTGCTGGACTCGCCCACATGAAGTCCGAGCTGCAGAAGAGACACACGTGCACAGACCTGGGTGAACTGCGCAGCTACCTTGGCTTGCAGATCACCCGGGACAGAGCACGCCGCACCATTACCTTGACTCAGTCACACATGGTGCAGCAGGTCCTTCAGCGCTTCGGCTTCACGTACTCCTCGCCTCACGCCACTCCTCTGTCTACTCGCCACTCGCTCTCAGCTCTGCCTTCGGATGAGTCCGTAGAGTCGAGTGGCCCGTACCCAGAGGTTGTTGGCTGCCTCATGTACCTGATGACCTGCACACGACCTGACGTTGCATACCCTCTTAGCATTCTTGCACGCTATGTTGCTCCTGGGAGACACAGACCAGAGCACATGGCTGCAGCGAAGAGGGTGTTGCGCTACTTGTGCAGTACTTCGGGCATGGGGCTAGTGCTTGGAGGGCGGAGTCCAGTGGTCCTCACTGGGCACGCAGACGCTTCTTGGGCTGACGACCAGGCTACTCGGCGGTCGTCCCAGGGTTACACCTTCAGTCTTGGTTCTGGCTCTGTTTCGTGGCGGGCTACTCGCTCGTCCTCTGCTCTCGGCTCCTGTTGTGAGGCTGAAATCTACGCCGGGGCCATGGCTGCACAGGAGCTTCGCTGGCTCACCTACCTGCTGACCGACCTTGGAGAGTCGCCTCGTTCTCCTCCAGTGCTGTACGTAGACAACAAGGCCATGCTGGCCTTGTGTCGTGAGCAGCGCCTGGAGCACGGAACGAAGCACATTGCTCTCCGCTACTTTCTTGCTCGTGAGCTGCAGCAACGTGGTCAGTTGCGACTTGCGTACGTGGCCTCTGAGGCCAACACTACTGATGTTTTCACCAAGGCACTTCCGCCTTGTGATCATCAGCGCTTCTGCACTCAGCTGGGACTTGTCCCCGTCTTGCCTCACTTGCTCACCTCTTGACCTTGCTTGTACTCTTGCATATATATATTTACCTGTTCTTGTTTATTTAGCCTTATATATATCTGTCTACCCCTGCATGTGAACTGGCCTTGTGGCCTTAACCTTGTGCTCGGACTGTGTGGTGACTTTGTGATCCACCCTGAGCTTGCTTTGCTTTGCTTTGCTTGACTGGTCTTGTGACCCCTTGTTCTCCCCCACTTTGCCTATGGGGGTGTGTCAGAACATATAGCTTTTGCATATTGTGTAGGCTATAGTGGGGTAGCCCACAAGGGGTACAACCCAATTAGGGTTAGTACTTGTACTCAGTTCATTCATAGTTCATTCATTCTCGTTCTCATTTTCTCACGCCTGTGGTCCCCCCGAGAGACATGTCTGCGGAGACATCGGTGGTGCTCCTGGCGCGCAGGTGAGACATCACCAGGTGGTTCTCTGTTCCGTCCAGCTTGCTCGAGATCCCACAGTGGCGGA